TTTCTCTTTTTGTTTCTTTTCTTTTTCCTCCAACAACTGCTGTAATCTCTCTTCATGTTTATTTTGCTGTTTGAGCTGCCACTGTTGTAGGTTTTCTTGCAACTGCTGTTGTCTCTCTTCTTGTTTCTTTTCTTGTTTATTTTATAATTCTTCTTGTTTCTTTTGTTGTTCTTGTATTGCTGCCATCAAATCTGCTAAGCTGTAGTTTGATTTACCACTTCTCATTTCCATTTGTTTTTTTTCTTTTCTGTCCCACTCTCTGACACCAATTTGTTACGCCTCTGTGTTCGTTTGTTAATTTTCCATAAAAATTCTTTCCGAAGAAACTTTAGCGACACAAGTCCTTTCTTAATTAAAACTAGTTTATTCTTACTCAATTCAACTTTGCAATACACTTAATTTCCAGTCACGTTATAACAAACGCTATAATTCACAACAAACGAATGATTCACGAGCTTGACTCAATTGTCGTCTATCTCTGTTTGCAATTAAATTACATTCGATTTGTCTCACGTTATCCGGCGCACTTATATACAGGAATAGAGGGCTCCTAGCACATACTGGATTATTCGTGATGTTCCCAAATCCTTTGAGAATATCATGACGTGTTACCAGAGTCACGTGACTACCACTGTCGTAACATTAATATGGTATTTTAAATTGTCTTAAAACACCTTATCTGCAATTGTTACAAAAGACAGAAGATCAATAAAAAATATACTGTTTAACAATAACTAGCAATTAAATAAAGATCAATAAAAAATATATTGTTTAACAATAACTAACAATTAAATAAATATATAACAATATTAAGAGGGAAGGCAACTGTGTTACACCACCTGTTGACAAATTTTGTTTTTTTGGTCTGAACTGTTGACTAAAGGGAAGGCAACTGGCTGGCAGCACCTGCCACCAATGGCTTTTTTCCTTGCTTGTATGTACTGTGGTACTAATTGATTAATCAAACAACCTATTAAAAGAACCATCATATAATCAAATAGTAAATACCACTAACTGCCTAGTTATATTGTACGCCTTGTGCATTTGATTTCTTTTACTACCCGAGTTCATTTTAATTTTCTACTTCACATTTGTGGAGCCTGAATATTGCTGATACTTAAACTTATCTGTTAGGCATCATTGTACCTAAATACCACAACTACATACAATTTTTCCATTTATATTAACAGGTGTGCTCTTTCTAGGTTGAAGTTTCATGAATTATTATTCAAATCTCTAGTTTCAGAAACTCGTTTCTGCTCTGGATTATCTATTTGCTTCTGTTTTATGATCAAATAATTAGTTTTATCAATATTTAAAGACATTTTATTAGTTGAAAACCAATCTGTTAATCTTCCATTATGGTGTAACCATTCTAAGAAACCTCTTGACATGTTTGAGTTGGAAAGTTAAAGTAAACTGTTCTCAATTTTGATACTACTGTATGTAAAATCTTACTAAAATGATAAAATGCCAAAGGCTGGCTCTACAGCAATCTGACAAGAGCTTTTAGTGGACACTTCACTTAGATTTTCATCAAATTCATATCTAAGGTGAAAAATTAAATTAAGTAGAGCATCTAATTACAATATGTATTGCAATACTTTTTTTCTGAAACTTTTTCCAGTTTTGTTTCTTACTGTTATTTTCTCAGTTATTGAAATATTTGTGCATAACAAAACTAAAATACAATCAATTAACATTTACTAACAGACTACTTAAAAACGTTTCATGTTTTGTTTTCTGATGAAATCCAACTAGCTGAAAATCATGAACATATTTTTAAAACTGCTATTTCAACACAGTGGTGTAATAGAAGTATTCATAAAAATTTCTAAACAAAACTGAAACTTCATGTACATGAATTGGTAAAGTGCAACTGTACAGTGACATGTCTATTACAAGCAAAAAATTGTGTAACTATCACTTACAGTTGAACAAACAAACAAATGAATCTTATAACTGTTTAGTTGTTTTCACTTACCAGCACTATACGAGCTGCTTGGATTCCCCCAATTATATTTCAAGGCTAAATAAACTGCTTCAAGGACTTCTGAAGCCAGTGGAGTTGTTGCATTGTAATCCAAGTACACTGCCTTCCTGCATTAAAGTAAACAAACACATATTAAGTTTCCAAGAAAATAAATCTGATCAACACCATTACTTGAGCAAATACAAAGATTAATATCCTTGTGCTATGAATAACTGATATATGATTTTTGGTGCAATACATAAGTAGCTAATTTACATACTTACTAATTCAATTTCTACAGTTAACAAAAAAAGACTGATTAAGGACCTAGAGTATTAAAACATTTACTAATATGACTTCTGTTGTTAACTAAATTGTTTTGTTTCTTTTTAGTTTAGAGAATCATTAAAAAATTTCAATTTCATAAGTAGCATCATTTTTGAAAAAGAGTGTTCTTGTAATTTTATTTTCATACTTAATTCTAGTATTTTTTATTGTGTGAACACACCCTATGGAGATAATTATTTTTTGACTTTCAGAAATCTTTGGGTAATGTTTTGCTGAAAAGATTAATTACCAGCTATTCATAGGTTCTGATAAAGTAGAGGGAAAACAAGTGAATCAAAAATCCACTTGATGCTAGAAAGCACAAGCTGTAAGTGGAAACTTTTCTGATTATAAGATCAAAACTAGTGCATTTTTCAGAGCATTTCTATAAACAATATTAATACCAATACTGCTTGTAACTTAGCTAAAAATATTCTAATAGCATAACTCAATAGCTGCAGAAGACTAAAGCTGAGAATAATATTGATTTTATTCAGCAGTGTTTCGACAAGTTTTTTGAGAGTCAAGTTCATGGAAAATGTGTTTCATTATTGAGAAATGTCAAGACCTTAATTTAGAAAAACTTAGAAAAAGACTTGTTTGATGTAGGAAATAAATGTTGATACATATACAGGAAATAAAGGTAAGGGTCTCAACATGACTGGTGACAAAAACTTTATGGGAATGTGACAGAAAATTTTGACCATTTGTACTTTGCAAAAGATTGGTTATACTTATCATGGAATTATATAAATATTCAGTTTTGGTCTTACTATAGGAAGAACATAAATTTTCTGGAAAAAATGCAGAGAAGATATACTTAAATGATACCTCACTAACAAAGCCTGATCCCAATGGGAAGAGATTAAAAAAGTTAAATTTCTTAAATGCATAGAAAAAAAAAAGATTAAAATGACAAAGGATATTTAGTTCATTCAGACCACCTTTCCACTTATCAATTCAACAAATCACATCCAAAAATTAAATGTTGTCCTTTTCATCCAATTCTTATACAATAAATATTTAAAATAATTTCAATTAACAATGTGTCACATAATTGTCATGCTAAATACTGACCAAGTTTATATCTTCTATCTTCAACATTTTAAGAATGTTGTCATACAAACAACAAAAATCTCAATATAGTCTTCTGAAGCAGGGTTTCCCAAAGTGGAAGCCATGCTCCCTTAGAGGCTGTGAAGCTTTTTCATGGGGGCAAACAAAAAATGTGCCAAAAATACAGATGCTGAATTAATTTTAATTCTAAGTAAACATTAAGCCAAAAAAAATTACATTGAATTAACTAAATGATACAGTACGTCGAAAGAAGATGTTATAGCTTTTACTACAGCAATGTTTTTCAATCACCATGTCAGTCGGTCGCAAGACTTGAAAGAATGCTGACTGATTGCACTCGCACTTAAGCACCTATAATGTAACAGTAAAACAGGTTAGTCTTCATTTGCTATACTTTTCATAAAATCTTCATAACAGTGGTTATAGGTTGGAGGGGGATCTCAAACTTTTATATTCACATCCAGAGAGCCTCAGACTAAAATAGTTTAGGAACCACTGTTCAAATGCTTACACTCTTAATTGTCATGTTTGGATTCTAACCCTTTTAATTTCAATACTCAAACTTACCATCCATAGGCAGATTATCCATGTCCCTTAAAAACTTTAAACACCTGCATCAAGTCACCTTTATTTCTTTTGCTTGCTCAATAAAAAAACAAATTAAAACATTTATTGGTAAAACACATTGTCTATTGAATGTTTGGCTATACTGAAAAAAACTAAGAGCAAACAGGGTTATTGGTTCTACTTTTAAGAATTTTGAATATAAAAAATGTTATTGTAGTCTTAGAAAAACTCTGGTGAAGCCTCCTCTGAACCCCTCCCCCTTTTTATAAGGAAAATTATAAACATTTCGTTATGCTAATAATAAATTTCATCCAGTAAAAAGGATAGTTACTTAGTTACATCATTACTCTGCAACATATACCTCTCTGGCAAGTGATTTTTTTTTACTTTCAGCAATTCCTCGTTGTTTAGGGGTTTGCCATAAAATCCTGAAATCCTTCATATTCACCTGTGAGTGACCTTAAATAAATCCTTCACGAATTGAAAACCAAATATTATCAGCTGTGAACAGCACATGCAATTTAAATTCAACTAGCTCTTTGTTTTTGCAGGTGTAAAATCGTGTATTCAGTGACTTATGCAATAGTCATATCATGTCTCTTCTAGTTCTACGGCCTGCCCCATAGCTACGTTTTAAAGTATCAAAAATTGAAAGACTATGCTGAGTCATTCCGAGCTGTGTGATAATTTCCTTACTCAGTTTTAAAAATTTCGCGTCTGATGATTAATTTTTGTCAGAGGCTAAAAGTACCAAATTTATGACCAAAATTAAAACCGGGACAATATTCCAAAAAACTGGGTAGTCCAAATCCAACGTCCATGTCAAATCGGAATGTCTCGTCAAATTATTTTAACCGTCTACTCTAACCCTCATGTCTGACCCCACTCTAATTATTTTAGTCGTTACTTACCTTGTCATGGAATAAATGTCTTTGCAATTTTCAGTATCCATTTTTATGAACAATAGTGCCCCTCCCCCTTCACATCTGTAATGAAAATGTCATGGTGCTATTAAAACAATTGGGCTAAATTTTCATACATTTTGAATACTTTTTATTTACACCGCATCAATTCACATGGCTTTTCTAATAGCGCCATCTGGTAACATTTTTTCTCTTTATTTAATTTACGAATAAAATGAAATTTTGAATGAAACAGCTATTTGTAGGATAACATATTTATTTCTGTACAACGTTTCATTTTTAACAGCATTTCATACGGTTTTACATAAAAATATTTTCCCATGTTTCAATAGAAAACTGTATAATGGATTAAATCTGCTTCTAAAGTACAACTGAAACAGAAAATAAGACTTTCAATATAAACACACAAAACAAAATGCATATATTTTTTAGTTATCATTGTTCTAACAATAATCGTTAAAAGTGCTCTAGAGAAAGCAAATTACAACAACAATAACAATTACGGTTGAATACACACACACACACACACATATATATATAAACATATAGATAGATATGCTTTTATATATAAAAGGAAAAAATAAAACTTCGATTAATACTGTTACGTCTCTGGTCGTTTGTTAATTACCCGTAAAAATTCGTTCCGAAGAACTTCAGCGATATAAGTCCTTTCTTAAATAAAACTAGTTTATTCTTTCTCAATACAACTTTGCAGTACACTTAATTTCCACAGTCACTTTAACTTAAACACAAGCTATAATTCACAATGATTTACACACTTTACTTACGGCTTGACTCGATTATCTGTCTATATCTTCAATCTCTCTGTCTGCTATTCCAGTTCCGATTAATTGTCTCGCTTTATCTGGCGCGCTTTTATACAGGAATAGAGGAAGTCTAGCAAATACTGGATTATTCGTGATGTTCCCCGATCCTTCTAGATACTCATTATGTGTTACCAGCGTCACATGACTTCCGCTGTCGTAACAATACATATCTTGTTAGTGTAACCATACAATACGTTCTCGACATTATGGACATAGTCCCTAGAAGAGGACTGTTGCTCTCAGAAAAAAAATGTCTCTTAAAGAGTTCCAGATTCGCAAAAATCTTTCCTGAAATACCTTTACATTTCATTTGATATTTACAAGATCTGCAGTAGAAATACATTATAAATACATATTCATTAGATCATTTTTATTATGTGGCATAAAATATTTTCGCATTCATTTTTAGAACATGATGAGCTACTATTAAGGAGTAGGATTCAGAGAACATTGGAATTAACAGTTAACAATCCTAATTTATTCACGCTAAAAATCAAAGACAAAATTAGTGTTTTCGAGAGGATGGCGTCTTTTGTGGAGGTTTGAGAGCTCTCAACAATATCTATTGGACAGACCCATTACTAAGTCATGGCGGGTGGAACAGCCAATCCGGGCGAAAGAGGTTTGGGACGACAAATTGACGAAAATGTTTTACTACAGCACTCACAAGAGGCGCAAATGTGATACCCTAGTTACAGCTATACTGTTGGGGATCGGTGGGAAAAAAAACATGGAAAAATGTTACAGACTGAGAAAGCATGGTATTATATACATAAAACAATAATGTTATTCTTGTTAGGACATGTGTGCTACCAACGTCATTCCGTAATAATAAGGGAATTTGAGTTCTTATGGTATCAATTGTCTACTTTCATAGTATGTTCAAGTCTACATAAACATTTCCCAGTACAAGATGCATATGATATCATAGGTGAATGACCCAGAAAAATAGGTAATTAGTGCGAAAGATACTTATTTCTACCTTGACCAGTGTTCTATAGTTAAAATTAAATATTCTTTAATGCATGAAAATGTTTATGTTAAATAAGGCGTAAAAAACATCTAGTATGCCCTCATACTGCACACGCTGGCTCAAATATCCTTTTAACTTATATATTCTTATAAATATTCTTGTATACATGAAAATGTTTATGTTAAATAAGGCGTAAAAAACACCTAGTATGCCCTCATACTGCACACGCTGACTCAAATATCCTTTCAACTTATGAAAATGTTTATGTTAAATAAGGCATAAAAACACCTAGTGTGCCCTCATACTGCACACGCTGGCTCAAATATCATTTCAACTTATGAAAATGTTTATGTTAAATAAGGCATAAAAAACACATAGTATGCCCTCATACTGCACACGCTGGCTCAAATATCCTTTCAAGTTCTAATTCTTGTCATACTATGTTATATTTCACGTGTGGAAAATGAGAAGACCCATAATTGACTGTGAAAAATGATAATTTTTAAAGTTAATTTCGATATGTATTATGATGTAAATTAGAGTTGTGACTTTCACTTTTTCATCTTCCAATAATTTGCACAGAATCTTGTGTATCCATCCTGTGGAGGAAGTATCTTTTAATTCAATTCAGTTTAATTATTCCTTGTTTTTCCATGCTGTTGTTTTTTATTTCTTTAATTATTCATTGTTCTCCCACGTCTTTTTTTTTTTGAAAGCCTTACTCATCCTGTTTTGTAACTGGGAGTCTTCTGGCCAATTGGGATATTGGGGTTATCCATTCAGCACTAATCTTATCAGAGATTTCAATTGTCCTGTCTAAGTCATGAGGTCAGCTGGATCAAGTATATAAGTATTCCATGAACAATCAAATTATATCTGGCATTCATCACTTGCAAAATTTTCACAGCTATTATCATACAGGTCCTATAAATGAGATGGAGCTCCCTTCATGTGAAGATTTGGCAACAGACTTTCTATATTTCATGTTTAAGATGACTACATCTGATATTCTTTGTTATAAATTATACTTATACGGCTTCAAATCTTGCAATATTCCACCCATAATTAACTCAGATTTCAAAGTTTCTTGTGTTCTTGGTCCAAATGATGGAATCTTTATTCTTCAAATCCACGAGAGTTCTTTAAACAAATAATATCCCAGGAAAAGTGGAGTGTTTAGTTCTACAACACTCCTGCTACTAGATATAAGGTTGTTCCTGATAATTCCTGGTATGAGTATTTCAATTCCTGGTGGTATAAGAACTGCCCTCCTTGTTGTTGAGTATTTCAATTCCTGGTGGTATAAGAACTGCCCTCCTTGTTGTCACTAATTCCATCAAAAAACTGGTGTTATTTTTCTTAATCAATTTTTCCCTTTGAGATGAAAATTTGTGCAGAGATCTTTTATTTTACATAGTTAACAGAATAGAAATATTAGTTGCCATCTACTTTTGTCTGATTGCAAAATGATTGGTGAAAATAGGTGTGCTGCCTTTTTATGGTTAGGTTCAGTTTCATCAGACTGCATTAGCTTAGGTTATAATAGGAAAGGTTTGGATAGGTCGTGTACTTTTCCATTTGTCTACATACACGACGGTTGTATAATAATTTTCATTTCAATATACGAGGGCCACATGTTTACCTCTCATAACTTGTATTCATGATTACATCCACTACTGTGGACAGTACCACGTATATGACTATTGTAGTTCAACTGAAGAAAACACAAGAATGTGTCAAAATTAGTTTCTCTGATATCGATACTTCTGACAGTTTTTTCTATTTAGTGTGTTTTTCTACTGACGAATGCTAACTTCCAATCAGATGATCACGCTAAGTACATTATTACGCCAATTCGCGGAAGTTGTTGGGATAGCGATGATACAACAATTATTAAATCAGTACAGTAGCATAATGCATGCAGATATTGTAAAATTTATTTGGGGGCTATGACCCCAAAATATTCCCTGGTCAAATGCTCCTTTGCCCCTGCTAATTCGTCGCTTATGGTCATGTATTTAGTCAGAACTATAGGTATATGTAAATGACAGTCGTGTGGTTGTTTTCGTTTACTTATATATACGACAGTCTTATATAAAGTATCAGCTTTTTTTCTACCTAAACAATTCTATTTCTGACTTGGGTGTTGTAACAGTTTCAATTGTTAAGCGGATTCTTTTGAATTATTTAGTAAAAATAATGCAAAATCCATTCCACTAAATAATAATGAAAGCATTTTGTTTCTTCTTCTTCTAGTTCTAAAGTTAATTTTATTAATGTTCACAGTTGACGCTAACACAATAATTTCACTTACTTTAATTTTTTTTGTTATACTTGTTTTGTTTTTTTTTGCCTTTTTATTAGCTGTATGTTTGTGGACCAACAATATCTAGCGTGGACTCGCGTATAACCGATTCGATTATATTGCTCATCAGGATTTTTACCAACCTATTCTCAAATCTGATTATATGCCCAAAGTAGTGCATAGTCCGTTATATATATAATAGCATTATTTTCTGTACAAGAAAAGAATCATTGAGACTCCATTCAGAAGAGGAACCCACTTTATAGAAAATAAAAGTTTGGAGATGGCTTGACTGGGTAATGAAGAAACTTTATTGTAAATGTACGACGTTTCGACAAGATTATGCCATCCTGATGACATAATCTTGTCGAAACGTCGCACATTTGTAATAAAGTTTTTTTTTCATTACCCAGTCAAGCCGTCTCCAAATTATTATCAGAACGATAAGGTTCACCATTTTTTTATGTACGTTTGTCTGGAAAAGTCATTTACATACTTACTTAGATGATAATTCATTTAAATAGTAAAATTTTAATTCACTCCCTAAACGGCGGCTTTATAGGTACAATAAGCTTTAGTTTTGCTCAGCCAATGCTGTGAAATAGTCATTGTTAATATTCATACATTTTAAAGGGCGCTATTTTGTTTGGTCCCGATCCCTACTCATAAAGTACTACCATACTTAATGATATATATATATATATATATCATTGACATATAATAGACCCCCAGTGAGTCAGCAGAATGTCTGAAGGTTTATAACGCTAAAAACCGGGTTTCTATACCCGTAGCAGACACAGAACAAATAATCTATTGCATATCTTTGCGCTTAACAACAAATAAACATAATATATAATATTTTTTGAATATTAATTCACTTTTTAAAACATCCACTATATAACACTAGAGGGGGACACAACCACAGTTAAGTGGAATGTCGGCATATTCCTGCAACGTTGGCAGTGTTATAGCGTTGTATTAGATACAGCAATTAGCTACATTGTTTGTCGTCATGGATGCGAAAGAAGTGAAGATGCTACTAAAACAAGCTAGAGAGGCAATACGTGACAAAGATTTCAAAAGTGCGTTGAAATACTGTAAAACGGTGTTAAAATTAGATAAAAATAACTACCATGCGTGGGTTTTTATTGGGGCTGCTGCTGAAGAAATGGGAGAGTTGGAACAAACGCTCGCAGCTTTCAATAAAGCTATAGACATTTCTCCAGATCAAGTACTTGCTTGGCAAGGACTTTGCAATTTTTATGAAAAACATTATAATGATGATAATAGAAAAGCACTTGAGAATGTTTATAAAAAGTTAAAAGAATTAATGAATAATGATAAAGCCAAGAATATGGAAATTTTACAGAAATTATATAACTTGTATAAAATTCAAGAAGATTTTTTGTCTGCTTTGAATGTTTTGTTAGAGCAGGTTCAACTTTGTGACGAAAACCCAAAACTTGAAATGACAACTTGGATTTCAATTACTGATATGTTACAGGAAGATGTAGGTGGTATAGATGTGGATGATTTAATGAAAAAAGCATATGAACATATTTCAAAGTTGCTTAATTGTGTGTCAGATGACTCTGACTTTAATCTTGATGATATATGTAGGAAATACCTGATATTTCTTAAATCAAAGAAGGATTCAACAAATGCTGCAATGGAAGCTAAACGTTTATCAAAAGAGTTTCCTCAGCTTTCTGCTCCAGTTGAATATTTTTGTGAATTTCTTTTGGAGAAATACGTAACTGATAAAGTCATAAGTGATGATATTGTACCTTCATTACAAGAGTTGCAGGATAAAAATCCTGAATCTGGAAGTACCAGTTTGCTCTATGGACTTTACTTGTATTTATTTGAAAAAAACTGCATTGAGGCTCTTGATGCAGTAAAAAAAGGATTGTATTATTTTCCTAATAACATCATAGCATGGATTTTGTTTACTGAAATCCAGCTAGCTATTCATGATTACTATGGCAGTGAAAAAAGCTCTCTTCAGGCTCTTCAGCTTTATAACAGCTCTAAAGTAGCTATTTCATCAACTCTAGTTGGAAAGATGTACTTGCACCTTGGTATTGCCCTTTTTGGGCAGCAGTTGTATGAAAAAGGATTACAGGCTTTCAGCAAAGCTGAATCAAAAATTGGAAGGACTGAAGATTTACTTTACTGGTTGTGTATAACTGCTCTTGAAAAGAATGATTTGTCTCAAGCCAAACATCTTAGAGATGAACTCCAAAAGTTAGCAGGAGAGAGTTTAAAAACAAATCAAACTTGCATTCTCATAAGTCTTAATGAAGAAAAGCCAAAAGAGGCTTTAGAACAACTTTTAAAAGTAGTTAAAATGGAGGAAAATGACTCGTATACTTTTCACCTTCTTGGGCTTAGTTTATGGAAAACAAAAAACATGGATCAAGCAAAAATCAGCTTTCTTAAAGCTGCTAAACTAGATCCATTTTTCTACAAAAATTTCCTATACCTTGGACATTACTATAAAAGTATTGGAGATTTTGAAAAGGCTTTGCAATGCTATAACAAATCATTTGACCTTAATAAAAGGAATGATATTGTTGGAGCTGCTTTTAGTGATATCCTCTTTGAATGTGGAGAAACAGATCTGAATTTAAAGTTGTTGAAGAAAATTACTTCAACAGCTCCAGTTGGAAGTGCCAAGTGGGCTTGGCTACGTCTTGGCTTACACCAGCTGAGAGTAGGAGAAACAATGGCTTCAGTGTTATCCCTGCAGAATGCCTTGAAGGCTGACTCTTCAGATATTCATTGCTGGGAATGCTTAGGAGATGCATACCTACAGAGAGGAAGTTTCAATGCTGCTTTGAAAGCTTTTACTAAAGCATCTGAGCTTCAGCCTAACCAGTTGTACCCACAGTATCAAAAAGCAAATATTAAGCAGTTGCTTGGCTCATACAAAGAAGCAATTGAAGAATATCAGTGTATTTTGAAACTGGAACCTGGTTACGTACCAGTCCTTAAAGGCCTGACAGAAGCTCATCTTCAGCAAGCCAGACTTCATTTTTCAAAGTCCTTGTTTGGGTTAGCTCTTGATTCTTGCAATGAAGCACTCCAAACAATTAGTACTGCAGTACTCTCTAGACCAAATTTTTCTTGTTTATGGAAATTAGCTGGAGATGCCTGCATGTTGCCTGCCTGTCTTGGGCCTCAGAAATTTTCACTTTGGGTTCCAGAGGTTTTGTTTTCTCAAGGGTTCAGTAGTCAAGAATTGAAAAAAATCTGCAAGAGTGAAGCTATGACTTTAGCAGCAACATTGTACAGTAGAGGTTTATCGTTATTACCTGAAGTACCTGGGCTGTGGCATGACCTTGGTTTTTGTTATTACTTTCAGGCTGAAGAAAGTTCTGACAGTCAGTTTGCTACAGAATTAGCAAAAAAGTCAGTAATGTGTTTGAAAAAAGCTGTCAGTATGCAATCAACTTCACCCCATACTTGGAACAGTCTTGGAGTTGTTTCCCTGAGCCCACATGTAAGGAATTATAACTTAGCTCAACATTGTTTTATAAAATCTATCAGTTGTGAGCCTAATAATTTTGTAGCTTGGACTAACTTAGGAGTTCTTTACCTTCAGAATGACAATATTCAACTAGCACATGAAGCCTTTAAGGTAGCACAGTCATTAGAACCTTCTTATTCAGTTTGTTGGATAGGCCAAGCATTAATTGCTGAAAAGGTTAACCATCCAGACACGCTAGATTTATTTCGCCATACAACTCTTTTAGGTGAACATCCAGAGGGATTGTTAGGGTATGCACATTGGGTTTGTACAAGTTTACAGGACTTAGGAAACCGTAACACAAATTTCTATAAATACAACATAGTCCAAATGAGAGCTATTTCAACAGCTGTCGATGCATTAACAAAGTTCACTAGAAAAATTCATGATTCTTCTTCAGCTTTTTGTATGCTAGGACTGGTACTAGAGAGAGAGAGACTTTACAAAGGAGCCTGTTGGGCTTTTAAGATGTCCCTTCTTCTTCTTGAGGAGGAAAATTGTGATGAAATTATTGACAAGGTGAGAACTAATTATGGCCGTCTCCTAGCTCTGATAGGGCAGAATGATGAAGCTCTTGAGCAGTTCTCACAAGTAAAGAATATGGATCTGGCAGCATATTGTGACTTGGCTCTCACCTATCAGAAGCTTGGCAAATTAAAAGATGCCTGTCAAGCTTACAGACAAGCATTGACTCTTGCTACAGTCCAGGGAGATCAATCACACATACTAGTTGCTTTGGCAATGGTTGCTGTAAAAATTCAGGGCTTAGAATCAGCAAAAACTCCTTTATTCCAGAGTTCCCAAAAGAAACCAGCTTCTGTTCAAGGTCTCCAAGCACTTTGTGCACTGGGTCTTTTGCTAAATGACTTCAGCTTATCTACTGCTGCCATGAAAGAACTGTGTCCTCATCAACAAGATCCTTATTATGGGGCAGACATTGCCTTTCTTGCTGCTTGTGTCTTGATAGTTCAAGGGAAGATGAAAATGGCTTTACATCATTTGAGTAAGTTTGCCCATGGACACCCTAACAGTGCATCTATTTGGTCTCATTTAGCTGGCCACTTGTTATCCTTCCATCCTTACAAAGCTACTACAGCAGCACGCTGTGCAATGTCTGCTGTTTTGACCGGTAAAAATGTCACAGGTCTTCCATTACTAGTCATACAGTGTCACATGGTAGCAGGAAACAAGAACAGAAGTCTACAAACAGCTCAAAAAGCAGTACATCTCTTCCCAGGTAAGGTTATATCAGATGAAGTAGCATGTGCAGTATTGAATCTTCCCATCAAGTGGTGAGGTGATCAAAACTGCACTTTGTATACTTCAAATGGGGTTTCCCCAGTTTTGTTAATGCTGCTATTTTTACTATCCAATTAAAACTTATAAATAGAATTAAAAAACCTTGTTTGTTCTTTTCATCACAGTAAAAATACTTAGCAGAATGCTTTAAAGGTTTACCAACATCTTAATCCTTTTGTTTTATTTCTACAACATTAATGCATCTCTCACACAAGAAGTAAGTCATTTCCAAATAATCATACTCAAAATGTATAACCTTACACTTATCATCATTAAAAATTCATCTTCAGCATCCTGGCCTTTTTGGACAAGAGAAATGTTCTCCATAAAGTTGTTCCTGCACAGCTGTTTTATATTGCCAGCCAAGTTAGAAAAGCTATCAGATCATTAACATAAATACTAGTGACACAATACAGAAAACATTTAAATTGGAAGGAATGGGTGATAGAAAATCTTGCTGATTTCATATAATGCTTTTCATTAGATGTTGAATCTGGAGTGATGGATAAGAACGGTGTAAAAAGTGATTCAGTGGTTGCTGTTGCGGTAAAAGTTTTGATATCCCCTAGTGTTAGTTAATGTGTACACAAACTGGTTTTATTTACATTTTCATTTAGGATACCCCAATTTAACCTCAACTAGTGTGTACAATTGCACAGTGGCGGTAATAAAGACAAGGGTGAAAAAGACAAAATTATACAAACAGGTAAAAAAGTCCTAAAATCTAGGCCTTTTTGTTATTACTTTTTTACCTGTTTGTATAATTTTCTGTCTTTTTTTTTACCTGGATTCACATTTGCAAGATTCATTGTATTTATTAGTACTTTCCCTTTTAAAACAATTTTGAAATAACTCTTTTAGAGAAATGTGTGTAATTCGTTCTTGAAAACAAGCCTGCATCTGTAGGCTTAAGAAATTGCATTTATGTTTTCTGTTCACTATTGTATCAACCCATTCTGTGATTTCAGAAATCAAAATACTTGTTGGTACTATTTACAATTTCTTGAACACAAAAATTACATCATTTTTAAGTTTAACATCATGAATTGCTGCTTTTAAATTATTAAAAGTTTTCATTATAGTAGCTGTTTACTGCACATTATCATCATTTGATAAATAAAATTCTTATTTAGAAATGAGTTACAAAAACCTGACCCAGCATTTCGTTTGTCTTTTTTCCTGTTAACTTAAAAGGTTAATTTACGGATATTTAAACCTTCTTAATGTTATTCCAGTCTTTTTCAAGCAGCATCAAAATTATACTCCTTTGTTAGTTCTTTTAAACCAGATAAACGATTTTAAACCAAACATGGATACTTGTAAAGAATTTTAGAAAATTTAACTTTCTATGGTAATGTGCTTGTAGATTTTATCCACATGAAGAAACATATTTTTCTGTCTAATATATAAATATGTAATTTTTTTTTTTTATGTAGATAAAGTTGAACACTGGTGTTCATTGCTTGGAATCTTATCCTCCTCTACCAGTCAGGAAAATTTTGTTAATGCACTATTTGTTTTTGTCAGAAAGATATTGAATGGTAGCTCACCAGCACTTGAGTCATGGCTCTTACAATGTGTGAAATATCATCGGCTCATTCAAAAGAGAAAGGATGTGACTAGAACCGAGTCACTATCTACAGATTCATTGACATCAACACTGGTTTTAGATGCTGTTGCCGATGCGCTGACCAAACCCAGATTTGATCAGTCTTGTGTACCTACAATTGCTGTGGCTCTGCAGAAAGATCCAAAATGTTTGTTTGGCTGGTTTTCTATAGCTTTACTTCAGGCCAACAGTGAAAAGTACAAAGATTCCATAAACACCCTGCAACGTGTCTTGAAGTCAGAAAACACTGTAAAATCACTGTCCAGAAAAGTCGTATCACTGCTGCATTTAGCTGTCATAGCATTGAATATCCAGAAGACGAGGAATGAAGATGAGTGGAAGTCACTTGTTCAAGAAACCATTACTGAAGTTTTGAAAATTGATTCTCACAATCAAGGAGCATTGTTTCTTCAAGCACTAGTTCTTGCTGGTAAATCAGAAAATTCACGTTTGATTGAGAGATGTCTGAAGAAAGTTCTAAATTGTGCAGACCCAGCTGAACCAAAGTGGATGGAATGGGCTGCACGAAGGTTTATGGTTGCTATTTATAAAAGAAAAAACAACAGTGATGGCATAGAAAGACTGCTGGAGGGAGCTATTGCTTGTGGTGATACAGAGTTTGTGAATGCTCATAAAGTCCTTGAGGAAACCCTAAATAATAAAGTTGTGGATTAACCAACTTAAAAATACATGAATAGCTGTGCTTTTGTTGGTTTCATTTGTCCATTTTTACATTACTGAATTTAAAAGCAAGATACTTGTTAAAGAAATGGAAAATTCATACATACAAAATTATATGATGTTAGATTACTAACACAAAATATATTTGTTCTGTATTTTGGAAAACCAATACAAAGTGGTAATAATTGAACAGAAATGAAAGATTTGAATATTTTAGATAATTTTATGAAATGTTAAGCCTATAGTAGCATATTGTTGAAGTAATTGATGACATCAGAGAATTGGAAGAGTAGGTTTGTTGTTGTTGCTATGATTGCAGAAGGATCCAAAATGTTTGCTTGGCTCTTTTTTTACAGCTTTACTTTAGTTCAGCTCTGAAAACTAGAAATATGTCATAAGTAAAACAGAATATGTCTTGAAGTTATGGAACACAGAAAATTATACTGCTATTTCCTTTAGCTTAAGAAATAGAAAAATATCTTTCTTACAATTAATAAATTCTACACAGTAATAGTGATCTACATAACAGTAAGATATTTAAAACCATGTGTTGTGAAAAATAAATTTCATCCCCACCTTGTTTTTCAAGTAATGAAGCACAGTACAGTTTAATTAAACTGTCTTCAAGTATTCTAAAACTCGTGTGTAGAAACAGTTGATACAAATGTATTATACTCTTGTTTGTACTTGCTGACTATGCATATATTTGCAAGGAATAAATTTATAAAGTTAGTGAACATTTTATTTAATAAATCTGTACTGAAAATAAAATTTATTGTAATTATTTGTTATGCTACTGGTGAATATTGTAATGCTATAGGTTTTAGAAATATTTGTAAAGTAACAATATATTCTAGTATGCCAAATCTTGGAGTTGCTTAATTTCAGAAGATTTAAGATGTTTAGTAATTGACAGGTAATATTATAAACATGGTAATACCACAAAACATATTCAATTATAGGTGTTTTGGAATTGCTTCAAATTCCATCATCAGCATTAATACCTCAAAAAGTTAGTTCATAATATCTGAATTTTAGAAAGAACAGGTTTAAACAGTAACAATATAATGGAATGTAAGATAAAATGTGCAGCATACACATTTAATAAATAACATTGTTAAGAGAAACTATTATAGAAAAGGCTTAAATATAAGTATAAACACCATATCTTTAAAATAATAACAAGTTTCAAATAAAAAACACAGAATCTGGAATTGATTAAATTAATGACAACAGGGAGGAGTTGAAGTTATTATTTAGTGTTTGGTGATCATTGAAAATGCAGAGATTTTCTTCAATAAAAGTATTATAAGCTATGGTTCTGGAGTTAAAAATTTTAAAGTTTTCTAGAAGTGTGGGTTGGTGGATATTCTCACTGTGTAATCAGTTAAAAGGCTCAACTGGTTTAGTTAGCTTACATCCTTAACCATAGATGTTTTCTGGTATTACTGTGTTTTAATATTTGCTTTGTTTTTCACCTGATGAATCAGTATACAATCCTATACTTTATCAAATATCTATTATAAACATACAGCTTATTTAAATAAACTTGCAAATGGTGTATTGCAATTAATGTTTAATGTTAGAACATAGATTTACATTTTATAACACAATATAAGCGTACAGTAGTAAAGAAAATACAATGTACTAAATTAATGATAATTTATTTAGGAAAGTTATTCAATAATAAAAGCACAATTTGTTTCATTTCCACTAGTCCCTCTCAATATTATCAAGTTACTCAACTATTGTTTATTATTATCTACAATTCTGGCTGAAATAATTTATCACTTGCTTGTTTTAATAAGTTTGAAGATAGAAGCACAAGCTACAATATATATATTGTTACAGTAACGATCCTTACATTCTCATTAGTTAAGGCATTCAACTTGAGATCTACAGGATTGAAACCAATCACTGAACATGCTTGCACTTTCAGCCATGGAGGTTTTAAAATGTGATGGTCAATCTCATTATTTATTGAAGAAAGTTGGCAGTGGGTGTTGTTGTTGACCAGTTGCTGTTCCTGTAGTCTATCACTTCAAAATTAGGGATGGCTGGTGCAGATAGCTCTTGGATAGCTTTGCACAAAATTCAACAAGAACATTCTTACCTACTTTTTGGTCTCAAACCATTTTTTTTTCATAGTATAAAGAACATAATTTCATTGTTGGAAGCCAAGTCATCTTAAAAGAAAAAAAAACTGCCAAGGTGAATACAATACTAAAATAAAACTGCCAACATATGTCTGTAATGGAGGCTAATGAAACCAGTTGTACAAATTTTTGGTATTTCAAGAATTTTTTCATCTCAAACAACTGAAAAGTTAATTATTTTCTGCCTCAGGAGGATTGTGCGAGATCTGTTAGCAAAGAGTTAAAAACAAGATTGCTATTAATGCAAGTTTGTTGCTTCTTAATAATTAAAGAACAAACTAGTTTAAACTCAAAATATTTTCAATAAAATCAAAGTAGTTTTTATTCCTATTTCTTGTTTTATTTATTCTTTACCTGTTTTCATTTTTAGAAGATTGTCGAGATTTACTATTTGTAACAAATGTAAAGATTGCTTAGCATTTCCATAGAGAGTTACTATTCATAACAAACATAAAGATTGCTTAGCATTTCCATGGAGATTTACTATTTATAACAAACATAAAGATTGCTTAGCATTTCCATGGAGGTTTACTATTTGTAACAAACATAAAGGGTGCTTAGCATTTCCATGGAGGTTTACTATTTCTAACAAATGTAAAGATTGCTTAGCATTTCCATTTATGCATCTTTGCATACAAACACAAAATTTACAAAGTCTTATTTTTTTGATAGAAACAAGTCTTCTGATGTATTAATCTTTATTTTAAAACTTACACGAAAAATCAGTAATGATTGAAGGTAAGTGCAACCTAGGCTGTTGTTCACTTGCACATTACTTTTAACATGCTAATGTAGACATGATGCATACTTACAATGTGATATTACTAGTAATATCAAAGATCAGCCCCACTGACTTAAAACTACCAGTAAGATATCTTGTGTACATATACAGATATGGCACAAACTTGTATTATAGAGGTACGTATTAAAGGTGATGGCATATTCTTGCTAGATTATATTTAGTCTTGGATTAAGATTGACTTATGACATTGTGTGAAGTAAGATCAAGCCATATTTATACTTAAATGGCATAAACAGGATTGTACAGGGTTCATTATTTATTTTAGAAAAATACTACCAAATGATGATGATAACCAATGGGATTTAAAATCTTGGATTATGAACCTTGGATTTATATTAGCCTGTAAATTGATTGTTCAGTCTTAATAAGTTTAAGATAGATTAAAAATAGGGAAAATAACAAGGCACCATGAAGAGTTAAAATTTAAGTAGATCTCTCTCTCGTTATAGTTATATACAAGGTCTAATTTTTGTATGAAATTGTAGATAGGCTTGGTGAATGTTACATAATGTTTGGTTTAGTCAATGTCATGTTAGATTCTGGTGCTAAATGACTTGGTGTGTTATAGAAAGCATTGAAATTTGACAAAAATAAAAATCTTCTTGTAAGTAACATAGAATTTTGATATATAAAAATAAGCTTGCATTGTAACTTATGGGAGAGATTGATATGAGTTAACTAAGCAAGAGTTTCCTTTCTATGATTATTTTTAGGCATTTTGCAAACCTAGAACAACAAACCAGAATCCACCTTTTCTTTAGTCAGATACAATGAAGTTCATTCAAATAACACAATTAATCCTTATACTCATTACAGATAAATCATTCTTCTTACTCCTGAAGAAGATGGATCCCCCTCTCAAAGTAGCAGGATATTTCTAGTGTGACTAACAAAACATTTTGATCCTATTGTTTTTACTATTTTGATCAAGATCACTGTTGAAATGTAATGTATATTAATGTTTTTATGAGATGCTGAAAATCTTGGAGTTAAAACAAAACGATACTTTAACAATACAGTCTAGAGAGCTAATGTACATCCACTGTTATCATATCATCACCTTACAAAGCAGTTTCATCATAAAAATGGATGTCACCATAAAGTTTACATTATAACAATATGTTTTCAACTGCCTTAAATCTTTCACACACACCTTCTTTTGTTAGCCAAACAATTAACACATAGATATACATTCTATGTCTGTGTATACGTGTATCTCTTCAGAAGACAACAACTTTTAGTTAATGTTCTTTATTCCATTGCAGACAAAAGTCTATTCCATGAAAGCTTTTTTTTAATATTTATTTGAAAGGCGTTCTTCATTTTGCAGCATGTCAAATTTATCCATTTACATCACAAAAAATGTTATTAATTATATGGAGGTGTTTTGAAGTTGCATTTCAACGTTTTGTACATAAGAGTATTACTAGTAATGGTAAAGATATGACAGTTACAGAACTGAGTACAAATCTGGTGAGGGTTTAGAAGACTTAAAATAATTAACTTTTTACAATAGGTATTTTACTGAAGGTGAAGAAAAAAAAACTATACTCAAAGTTGACATAAAATAGTTTTGAAACATTACAGTTTTTTACCCTTAAAAGGTAGTATATTTTGTTAACTTCAAACCTATGGTAATACTGTTTTTAATATCACTGATGCTCTTCGAAACTAAAATTTTAAAATGTTTGGACAATATTATTATGAAGTACCAATGAATTTTTATAAAGAGCAAGAAAAATACATGTAGATACGGATATGAAATTGTTTAAATATGTGTTTACTCATACTGTTATCAAGCAGATGTAGAAAAAACTGAAAACTATTGGAACTAATACTAATAATCACACAAAATTTTGAAAAATTTCAACAAAACAAAAATTTCAGAAATGCACTCTTAACCCAGATTTAAAAAAAAACTGAATTTTATGTTTAGTTTATGTATTCTTCCAAGAATTGTTCATGAGAAGTCTGAAATATTTATTTTTACAAACTTACCTGTACCTATGAAAAGAGGACAATTATATAATGAAGTTTACCGACATCATTTCCATTTAAACACTCATTATTTCTTTATTCAGTTTAAGAAATCTTTTCACTAAACATTATGAGGAATAGGTCATTCTTCACTCAATTTTGGTCCTTCTGGTCACAAATGGAAAATGCACAATTTTTTGGAAACAATAGTTTTTGTATATGAAACTATCTCAACATCAAGTTTTATTAAGAGGCAAGGCCTTCACTGAAATGTTTCACTTTATGAGAAGTCACAGTCAGTTCCAAAAAACTGTAAACTTCAATTACTCACGATTGGTGTCACAAAACTGAAAATACAAACTCAAATACCAACTTTCACTGAAAATTTCCTTGCATTACACCACGGCTCCTAGGGCCACGAAATGGACCCTGTCCTCTTGGAACTCCTCTAGGCATTAACATTCGACCTCCCCGAAGCCCACCTCGTGGAGGAAATCCACCTCTTCCTCCCCTTAGACTTGGAAGGGGAGGTCCCCCTAAATGATGTTCAGGTGGGTAGCTACCATTTTCTTCTCCTGGTCCATCATGCCATGAACGTTTGTGAACAAGAGGATAAGAACTATCTGATGAAGTGGGGAGGCGTTCATCTACATCAGAAGACTGACGCATATCGCTATCCTTAGGAGCAAATCTCATGTCACAGTCCTCTTCTTGATATATCAAGTTAGTAGAAGGATGATACGGTGCTCCATCTTTCCTTGGAGAGCAACCTCTTGCTATCCTTCCTCTCTGTTCTCGAAGGATGTGAGGTGGAGGGAAATTGTGACGTTCATCATGATCTGCTTCCTCAAAATAATTTCCACTCCCTTGATGTCCCCAAGGGTCCTGTGGATTACTGGGAGTTCGAGGGTTTACAAACCCTCTGTCGTCTACATCACGATTTCTTAGGTCCCTGTCTTGCAGAGAGCGCATGTCCTGGTCCAAATGCTCATCATATGATTTCCATTCACCGCCCTCTGTATTCTGTGGAATAACATGTGATGGTGGAGGCAACTGTCGGTGATCTAAGTCTCTAAAATTCTGGTCTGTATCATGGCTCTTTCTGTCATCCATGTTTTGTGATCTTATATCTTGTGCTGAAAGAGGATTCTCCATTTGAGAAGATGGTTCTGGCATGTTTGGTGGCTTCAAGTGTGGTCGTAGTGGTGTCTGAAGAAGTGGACGGGGTGGAACACCTGTAGGGTATAATATCAAATAAACAAAATGATTAATCTGTAAATCTACATTAAAAAATTTACAGTAAAAATGGGTAAACTGATGAGGTAAAGAGAATACAGATTCTCTAGAAAAAAAAAAGATTCAAATATGTAATCTTCTTGAAGTCACTAACAGTTTCAGGACGTTTTCTAAATTACAGGTCTTACTCTATGTTGGAACAAAAATTCTTCAAATTGTCAGTTACAGATTTTATACCAGGTCGAAATAGCGATTATAGAAAAATAATCACTAACAGTTCAAAGATACAAATCATAACCACTTATTCACTGAAAAGTTTCACTGGTTACTTCTAAACACAAAAAAATCATTTTACTGGATGTAATCAATTTGTCATGTATCATAAAGTTCACAAAAATTCATTTTCAGAGAGCTCCCTGGGAGATTTTAAAAGTAATTTGCACTCAGTGCAGTGGAAAATAAAATGGGTTACTTATTTATTTCAGAATATCACAGTTGCTCTAGTTCATAAGTACAGTAGAACCTCGACATTAAGGGCACCCTTCCGACTGCATCCAATATCAAAATAACCCTTAATATCAAAAATGAGTCATGCAAAGCTGGATTCAATATTGACTGTACTAAATTTCTGAATTTTAAAGACCCCCATTTTGTTTGGTGTATACAGAATATGGGTGTTGGTAAGTTGCACATTGCCATTACATGGAGCATTGTCAACAGCAGGTCCCAAGGAGAGGATTAGCTGTGCCATTTTTCTTTATTATTGGTCACAAAGTTTCTAAGTACTACTCTTCAGAGTTTGGACTGCTAAACATTTCACATTTATTTTCTGTGTTTATTTTATTGTCAACGACTGAAATAGATATCTGCTGAAAATAAAGCAACAAATCACCACTTGTGTCATTAGGTTGTTTACGTGACCCTGTAATACGATACTCTTGACAGCAACAAAGCATATGCACAGAAATAATCTGACTTGACCCCTGCTACAAGAACACAATGTGGAATTTATCAGCTTATGTATCCTACAGTGTTTACAAGGAGAATTCTCCAGAGTAATAAAATTGAACTTTGAATCTGTGAAAACATTTATTACACTATATGGTTCAGAGCCGATCCAATAAACATCATAAATGTTTGAATAACTGTCATCCTTCTGGTGGGATGTTTGGAATTTAGAGGTATACTGTACAGGCATACAAAGATAACTGCCTGCTTTATCAATTGCTTGTATAGAGAACGAGACTAAAGACACTGTACTTAATCCAGAATATCGAGGTGTTTGTTATTACAAGATTTATTTTGGTTACAAATAGTAGAAAAAAAGAGACTGAAAAGGTCTGCCCTTAATGACACAGTACTCACTGTTTTGAGGTGCCCATTAATCAAGGTTCTACTGCATCAGTTACTAATTATGAAAGAACAGGTCATGGCAAAATTATCTTGAAAAGCTAATTATTAATATCACTTTATAAACATATGACACAATCAAAAGCTTGTAGATACAACTGGTCAGAGGGTTTTATTAGCATGCTTGTAACATCTATAGATATATTTTACAATATTATTCATTTCCATGCCAAATGATCAGTTTAAAGTTATTGATTTTATACTTGTATCGTAGTTGAAAAAATAATGTACTAATTAATTAATTAATGTGGCTGTTGATTAATCAATTAGCAAAAACCACTAATTACCCAGCTCTAACACATGGTATTACATAAATATAAATTTGCAGTAAATTAATATTTCATTTACAAAATCAGATCAGATGAAAGTTAGCAACTTTGTACAGCATACATTTTTTGTAGAATATGTTAAAATTATTTTTGACAACCATTTTCAGAATAAAATCATTTATTTATAACTGTTGCACAAGCTATTGAATAACCCTGAGTTAGACTTGTGCAACGTTTTTTTTTCCCAAGTTGATATCACTGATAGTTGTTTCATATATCAAATAAAATAAAATATACTATCAATAAACTAAGAGTTTCAAAATTTTGTTCCTTAATTTTTCTCAAATTAGATTTTTATGTTATAAAAAATTAAATTTATCCAAGAAATTAAACCACTTCCATAAAAATGTTTAAAAATAAATTGTATGGTACATAAATGTCAGTAGCAATGCAACAGAAACATAATTCATTCTGCTGTCCAGTGCAGAATCATGGAGATATCTTTTTAAAACAGACACACTTAAAAATGAAATAGTTATAAAAACAGCACTAAATGAATGAACATAAATTATTTTCACCTGGCCTTGGACCAAGGAGAGGACCTCTTGGTTTTTGTGAATTTGGATGAAATGGATGTGGTGGCCAATGGCCTTGTCCTCCTAGTGGAGAAGGAAATCTTGGGTTGAAGGAAATAATCCGCCCTCTGCTTGGGCTTCCCCCTGGAGGTGGCATAATCTGATGCTGACTTGGAGGCCCAACAGGTGGTGTTGATGTTGGTGGTGGGTATACAGTATTTCCTAGCTCTGAAGTCTGGATCTGTGATGCTGTATTGATGATCAGAAGAAGCAAGAAGTTTAAGAAATTTTCTATGAGGTTAATGATATTTGAAGTTAAAACTCTATGAGGTTAATGATAGTTGAAGTTATAACTCTATGAGGTTAATGATATTTGAAGTTAGAACTCTATGAGGTTAATGATAGTTGAAGTTAGAACTCTATGAGGTTAATGATAGTTGAAGTTAGAACCCTATGAGGTTAATGATAGTTGAAGTTAAAACTCTATGAGGTTAATGATATTTGAAGTTAGAACCCTATGAGGTTAATGACAGTTGAAGTTAGAACTCTATGAGGTTAATGATATTTGAAGTTAGAACCCTATGAGGTTAATGATATTTGAAGTTAGAACTCTATGAGGTTAATGAGAGTTGAAGTTAGAACTTTATCTAGTCTTGATTATTTATATGAAGCTTTCATAGTTTATCTTGAACATTTTCAGAATTTAAACACGAAAATTATACAAGTAATAAGAAGGCATCCTCCAAAACAAATCATGCAATTTACGTTTTACATAAATAATATATAAATTATAGTTCCTCAAGAGTTATAACAGTGTTTCTCACAGTCTTGAACATGCTGATAGCTAACTAAAAACGTCTTTATTAAAACTTCACAATCAATCAATAAATACTGTATATATAAATAGAATCTTGAAAACAGTCAAACTTAATAAAAAAAATTAAAAATTGAACTGATGTTTTGGAACAACATACTGTCAGCAAGTTCATCAACATCATCTGTAGGTGGAGCTAGAAGCAGAGGTTGTTTATTTTCCATCCACTGCTGCTGGAAGTGTTTGGGAATAGGTTTGGTGTGGGGAATCTTTCTCTGTTGTTGCTGCTGTTGCTGTTTTTCTGAATGAGAAAGCTCCTCTGTACCAAAATCCAATCCAGGAATAGTTGGTGTATCTTCTTCTGGTTCTTGTTCTAGAATATCATTAATTCTAAATAATGTATACAGTAACATTTATTTCACTCTTCCTTTACTCAGGTGTATTCTCTGATTAGCAATATCCAGTGCTGATAATAAAATGGCTAGCATTTTGATTGTTAGTGAGTTATCATCAGACTTTTTATTATCCTCACTTCTAGATCAGAGATACACCGAATGCAGTATGACTAACACAAAAAAGTAAAACTATACATTGCTCTTACAAAAACACCTAAAATACACAAGAACATGACTCCAATTTTTACTATGCTGAAAAACAAAAAGAAACCTATTAATTGACCCCCCATGTTGGAGAAGGCTTGTTGACTACAATTCTGAATTTACTATGTGTATCTTCATGAAAGATGGCACACTTTAGTAAAGTGTACAAGTATGTTGTACACATGTCACAAAAATATTTGTACTCCAGATATGTCTGGGAACTAACAATGTTTGTCTGACTCAGACTCTAACAAGTCAAGGTGAAAGGGGGACGTTCATGTGAAGAATAAAAACACTTTTGTTCATCGTACAGTTTGCATATTGCATTTGCCTAATCTTTAGATCATCTGAAATGTATATCTACAGTTTTTTCAGTATCCTTGCCCACTGTATCTGGTATTTACTCTCCTCTACTGCCAACTAACACTAAATCAGCAAAGCTGAGTAAAATAAACTGTTGATAACTCTGACATTAAATACATAATACCATGTTGAATGGCACTGTGTGAAAGGTCACGGTATGCACACTTTGACCCCAACCCATGCACACACAGTTAAAACAAATATAAAAAATAATATTTTAAAGTATAATGCATACTGTTATCTGGAGATATAACTCAATGTTAAACTTATACATTTAATAAGTAGATAATGCATCTTAGATTAAAATATTCCAAAAGTCAGATTATCCCACTGAACCTTAAAGTAAACTAATATTACACATCAAACTTTTTCTGAAGTATAAGCAAACATTTGTCAATGGCTTTAAACCTGTGTTGGATCAGGAAGAAATATTATAATTGTGATAATAATTAAACAGCTGAACTTTGATGGGCAGATGCATAATTAGCTGACTTCCTGTTATCCTGAGCTATTGTTAATTTTGGAATGTTCTAATAACCTTAAAATGACAGAAGTAAAAATTAGTGTGAATTTACAAACAATGAAGCTTACATTTTAATACACAGTCTTCAAACTTAAACAAATGTTTGGTTCAAAGGGCTGGTTTCAAAATACATCTTAAATGTAGTCTTGCAGACATACATCCAAATAACCTCATTAGTATTATTTTACATTTGATTGTATGTTCTCAGGTATATAACAACACTATGATGATAATCTTTTCTTTCTCAACGTCAGTTTAGAAGACAATAGATAATAGCTTAGTAGAACTCTTCTTGTGTACCCCTCATAAAAAGAAAAAGTTGGGGCAGCTGCTACTGTATTTAGCCTTGTTTGTTGAATTTGTTTTTTTTTTCTTGAATAGGCTGACCTGTGTAATGAAATAAATTAATAAAACATAAAGAAAAACAAAAAGTGTGGAAGTAATAAGTCAGAAAACAACAACAATAATCTTTGTTTGCAATATTCTATGGTAAAAATATTGTTTTGTTCAAATTTACCAACCTTTCCTTCCATTATTACTACTACTTATCAAATAAAGAAACTCATGTCATTTAATTTGATGTGATAAAAGACTAATTATATGTCACTGGTCATCTTATTACCAAAAGGATCTATCACAACAGTGTGTAAAGTTGAAAGAAAAGGGATTTAAAACAAAAGACCTCATTTATTGGGAAACAGAATGGATCAGTTTGCGTAACTATTATCATTCATATCAGCTCACAGTTGTCAATGAAGTAGGGCATACTTAGGCCTGTATGAAGACAAATATTAAATTAAACCTTTTGAGTGAAAACTAACATAAATCTATTGTTACGGTTAAGTCAAAGTGTGCATGACACAACCTTTTATAGACTTATATTCAAAACTTAATTAAAGTACTTTACTATCAATGTATATGAATAAATTGGGCATCATAATGTAACTAATAAAACAAATTTTAATACAAGTTTTAATTTCTTCATTTTAAAGGAAACATTTAAATACGTCCTCAATCTCCATTATACATTTGCTCTGACTTCCTCCTCAAATTTTTCATCACCCCTCTCTGATGTTCCGAGTCCAACGTAAGTTACTCATTATAGTATAAATATTACTAATGCATAATCTAATCCTTATAGCCTTCAATCTTCTTTCTTTATGGAGATATAAACCAGAAAGTCAAATCCACTTGCCACACCTATCTATCACATCCTCTCTTTCACAAATTGCAAATAAGTCTCTGCGACATTTTCTATTACATCAATTATAATTAATAAAAAAGACAAAATTATAATTTATTGAATGATGTATAACAGTATGTTATTCTTAATAGAGATTATTAGTTACTTCATCTAAAAATTGAAATATATTATTGCTGAGTTCAGATTGAGTAGTTAAGATAATTATTTTAAGGCATGTATGTCTTAGTTAGCAAGTCAGTTAAATTATATAAATTATAGAGCATTGTTTACTTTTTGTGTGTTATTACTTTATTTTATTGAGCACATATTTGAAATAAATAAAAACAAGAGGCCAAACATAAGTACTCAATTTCTTGTTTTTTTATATAATTTTTTATCTATTGTTATGAAAGTAACTAAAATGTAAACATTAGGAACTTATTAGGTTAGATAATGAATAATATAATAATAAATATTTCTCCACAATGTATGTTCCCAAGTAGCTTATGGACTTTTCCATTCCACATGGTAAGTTGAGCTACACGAACTTCATGTATAACAGTATTATTAGTTAGACATGGTTCAATAAGCAATAAAACATTAAAATTAAGTTGAAACAGATGTAAACTGTTACAGGCCTTAAGCTATTTAAAATAAATAATTGTAGTTGTAGTTTCAGGTTACAACTGGCAGTCATTCTTAAAAAAAAATGGTAATTCAGATTTATCTTATATTTTTTGTGGTGGTTATATAGTTGAAAAAAATCGGTCAAGTCCATGTAGAGTTAGGATACATAAAATAACAGAAAAAACATTTTATATTCATTTAAGAGGTTTTTAAAGATTATGTGGATGAAATCTTGTAAGAAGAAAAATATATTTTTAACCTTAACATGAAAATGACCTTGAACTCAGACAAGTCAACTAGTCACTTTGTTTTCATATATTCATGAACAAATATCTTGTACAAATACTTAATTAAAAATCTTATTTTTTGTCTACAAAAGACTTGTAATGTTTACTAAAAAGCTTGCTATATTTCATGAAGATACATGAATCACATTAAAAGTTATTGTATGGATACTTTTATGGTTACCAGACAGTTACAAGGTTGGTCAAAATGACTGGGCCCATATTATACTAGTGTAACCAAACCACATATATATACTTGATCATGGATATCCTAATAGCTCTTGTGTTATCTGCAACAGATTCCTTTCAAGTTTCTACATTTATATAAATATCTATTTATACCTGCTGGTCGTAGGTGTTCTGGGAGACCATGTTCTAGACCCATTCCAGGTATGGTAGATATTGAACTGGGTTCATCTGTAAGAAAGAGGTAAAAATATTTCCTTGAATAACGTTTTCTAATTGAATAATAAACATCTTACATAACACGTATATGTACGTATGTACGCTATACCATGTTAAAGAATTTGGTCAAGTAGTGGTGCTATCACTAAATGAATCTTTATTTTAGTGACATAACCTTGGTTATTATACAACTGTTGTAAAAAACAGATTTACCATATTCAGCAGCCTCGTCTTGGCCTCTTGGTAAGGTGTTAAGATTGTACTTGTCTCTCATTCTGTCACCTGGTCTGTTTCGAGTCCAGAACTTACTATAGTGAAGACAAAAATACCAAATCAATTCACAACATTCAACAAAATTCTGGAAAAAAAGGACTACAGTAGAACCTCAATTAACGGGAATCCTACCATCAATGGCAGATCTTTTTAGTCTTTTTCTTTTTTTCTATAATAAATCTTCCATTAACAGGCACCTCGATATTCTGGATTAACAGCAGTTTCTTTAGTTTTGTTCTCTATATGGGCACTTGATAAAGCAGGCACTTATCTTTGTACGCCTGTACATTATACCTCTAAATTCCAAACATCCCACCAGCAGGATGACAGTAATTCAAACACTTATGATGTTTATTGGATCGGCTCTGAACCATATAGTGTAATAAATGTTTTCACAGATTCAAAGTGCACTCTTATCACTCTGGAGAATTCTCCTTGTAAACACTGTAGGATACATAAGCTGATAATTTTCACATCGTGTTCTCGGAGCAGGGGTGAAGTCGGCTTATTTCTGTGCGCGTGCTTTGTTGCTCTTGAAAGTATCTTATTACGAAGTTACATAAACAATCTAATGGAAAAAAGTGCTGATTTGTTGCTTTATTTTCAGTGGATTTCTACTTCAGCTGTTGGCAGTAAAATAAACACAGAAAATAAATGTGAAATGTTTAGCAGTTCCAACTCTGAAGAGAAGTACTTTGAAACTTTGTGAACAATAATAAAGAAAGAAAAAATGACACAGCTAATACGCCCCCTGATACCTGCTGTTGACAATGCTCCATGTCATGACAATGTGCAACTCACCAACACCCGTGTCCTGCATATACCAACAATATGGGGGCCTTAAAATTCAGAAATTTTGTATGGTCAATATGGAATCAAGCCTTGCATGGCTCATTTTTTATATTAAAGGCACCTAGCTATAGCAGGCATTTGGATGCAATCGGAAGGGTGTCCTTAATATCGAGGTTCTACTGTATATATATATCTAAGTTTCAGGACAAAAAAGTTCTCAACAAAGGAGATCACGTTTACTGAGGTGATAAAGAAATTTTGCAGTTGATAAGATATATTTCGTATGATCATTTGACTCTGAACACAAAATAATGCACAACCAAAACATCAGATCTATTTTCATATATAAACAAATATTAGTTATATTACTTTCAACAAATAAGTATATAAACAAACAGTGGGTATTCCAATTAGTTATATTACTTGTAATGTAATTTAATTACTATTTTCATGTCCTTTTGATCTAGAAAACAGAATGATATAAAACTAATAACCAAACATACCTTGTGTGATCATTTGATCCGGAACACAAGATGTGCCCAAGAGGGTGCCAGGCTAGTGACCAGACACATGAATCATGTGCTTGTTCCATCCCACCTACTTCCTTGTCAGCCCTACATACACATTTTATAGATAATATTATACAAGGTGATGCATTTCCTGAATATAAAAATTAACTTTTGACAGATATGAAGGTATTAATAGAAATAAGAATATGACCAGGACATTAAACATGAAATTCTATCCTCTTCTACAAGAAAACCTTATTTTGTTAAATAACCTAACACAAGTTACTGACAATAGTATATTCTTCTTACAGTTAAAGATATATTGTTTAGCTTACATTTCAAATACAGAGTGGAAAGTTTGGTTATGAATGTTTAGGTGCAATGTCTTTAAATTCTCTACAGAAATTTAGCAGTCTTATAAGTCATTCAAGACACCTGTCTTTTTCAAATGTATAATTTAGATTTAAATTAATCTTGAATACTAAACCATTTCTTTCTAAACACCACACTCTTTACAGAGAAAGATAGCTAAAATTTATTTTAAATTATTCTAATATTGATTTTATTAACAATGTTGTCAGATGAAAATAGCATTAAGGTAATAAGACTAACACACTGACATGGGTCTTAAACTCACCCAACAACCCAAAACATAATGGATCCCTCAGAGCCACCACTAACAAAAAGGCTTTCATGGACAGGATGCCAAGCTAGACCTTAGAATGAAGAAATCTATATTACTATAAGCCTAGAAACTTGCTCACATTATGAACAGTCACAAAAATATTATAATATTCATTGTAGTCAAACTGTTATAAAGAGGAACAATAAAAGATCATTCAGTAAAAACTTTTTTCATTATTCAGTGACAAAGTAAAAACCTGCATATTATATTAAATAAAAAAATAGTTGTCACATCTTAAAGATAAAGTTGTAAACTTTTGATTCGTAAATGGTAGACATATGGAAGATGTTATTCACTATAAATATTTAATAAACAATTATAAAGTTTACAATGACATAAATAAATATATATATATATATATATAGTATACACAAATGAAAGTTGAGTACATTATATCAAAATCATTTTGGAGCCTCACCACGTCATTACAGTCCACAATGGAACATTTGTCCAAGTTCTATTTGGTGGTTATGTATCTTGACAATGGCTAACAGTGTAGTTTCCATTGCAAAAATTCCATTATACTGCAGACATGTCAAAAGCACATCATTCCTCCTTAAAGCTTTCCATAATCCATCTAATGTATGAGGTCAATATTTCCCACCACCCATTCCAATTATACAGGAATCCATAGGCACCACAGTCAATGACTTTGTCAGGTATGTCTTTGTATAGAGTAACATGAATAACTATTATATTTTTCAGCTGCTTGAAGTACATGATGGCTGGATAAATGTGTCATAAAAGTAGCTTGTGTTACTTTTCCTGATGGAAATTTTTCTTATGTTGTGTCCTGTCACCCAGAACACATGGATGACTTTTGCCACTGAACTTTGTTTTCTTGGATTATCAGGTTAAAAGAATGCTTCACTTTGTTACAACAGCTGGAATATAACTTGTTTCAGGTTTCTTTCTAAATGATCTTGGTGCCCGAAGTTGATCCACATTCCTTTGTTTTATAATGCCATTAAGTAAAAGGGATATCTCTGTCTTGGAAATTCTAAATCTCCAACCTGATAACATCTATATGATCTGAATGTATGAATATTTTGCATTGCAATGGTCTGTTACATACCCTTTACAAAAGGGATCAAATATTGATGGCATCACTCACACTACCTACAAATGCCAAACAATGTCAAAATGTAATTTTGATACACACTGTTCTACTGCAACTTTATACTGCTGTGGTTGTTCACATGAATTGCTAATATGTATATACAAAATCATTTTCAAATAATGTAATCAATCCTCTGAATATACTGCACCCTTTTATTGTTGAATGAGCAACACAGACTGGTATAAATTGCTATGAAATTCAATTTTTTTCTGCAGAGGTCAAAAACCAAGGTAACACTGGATTCAAAATTAAATGAGATTTCAAACTCTGCAATTCTCAGTCTTTACCTTATTCATTCTCACCAGGACAGAATTTGATAGGACAACCTTAATGTCAAATAACCTTTTAAGTCAATAATTCATTTGATATCAGTAAAATAATTTTCAAAATTACACTGTATAGTATGCCATTATCAATATTTCTATTTCAGTAAATTTCTGACTTCATCACATCTCACAAAAGCTATCTGGCCTATTTGGATTTGTACCTTTCTTAGTCTGAGTTTTCACAAACACTGACAAAGAAATTAAAAATTTGCCCATTTTAATATATGAAAATGAAATAACAAAAATCTATAACACAAAATATATTTGTTCCATATATAAGAAGCTAATTTGTTGAAAGTTTTACACTTTTTATTGCTGTTTAGTTTTTCTGAATTATTAACAAGTATATAATCCAGTCAAAAACTTAAGAAATATATTAGTAACCAAATTATGCAAGTTGTTCAGTTCAATAAATTCAAACTGCTACTTACTTATTGCTTCTTTTTTATGCCCTCTGAAAGTCTGCACTTCTTGGGACATGTTCCGAATGTCAAAAAGTTTTAGAAGATGGTCTCTGGATCCTGTGAGAAGCCAGTTTCCATTCTTGTTCCATTTGACTTCTGTTACTGTATTTTTGTGTGCATGACTAGGGGTAAAAAATGTATGAAGTCAGAGATAAAAAAAAAAAGAGCATTTATCTAGCACAACAGATTTATTGGTACTATTCATCCATTTCTTTTCTGAACCTCTTAAAATCAGTTGACACAACGTATGATTTCAAAGAATATACCTGTTGTTATTATCTAACAATATTTTATTGTTTTATCTAGTGGTCTGTGAAAATTAATGAAAAGAAGGTTTATATTCATGATGTAAGAAAAAACGTAGGTTCAAGATGTCTTAATATAAAACAATGAAAACCCTATAACCCAAGCTCTTTTAAAAGCACTCCAGTTATATGGTCTTTATTGTTTTATAAGAATCTTTATATTTCAGTTCTAATTATTAAACATGTTAACAAATATTCAAATCCGAACCTAGCTTTTCAAATTACTATAACACAAAAATAATATTTTGCCATCAGGTACTTAACTTTAAAAAAAAAGTGTTTAAATATTATTGGCACAAATCAATGAATAACTTTGTCTACATTAGTGATAATTAGTACTAAGTAAGCTTATGTTTGAAATCCCCCCCCCCAAATTTTAAGTAAATAATAACTAATTTTTTTACATATATATATATATATATATATATATATATATATAATACAAAAACAAACTAACTTTTACTAGAGATATAGAGTAACTAGTAGTACGTACCTACC